TAATGTAAAGCATCATGAATTATGACTAACACACATTAATAAAACAGTTATATCACCTAATGGAGCGTGAAAAATATAAATTTCTAATGAGGCTCCATGTAAAAAAAAACACTGGAATATTAATACCTGTGACTGAAGAGCAGAGACTGCAGTCCTGGGGAAAAAATGCTGTAAGTCGTCGTGACAATAAACATCAGCAGTGAAAATGAGATTTAATTAATTAATTAATTAATTGGTGCCTATTAAAAAGGAGGACTCTGAGTGCCCGCAGAGGGTGTCTCGGGGCCCGGTGGAGGCTGAGCACGGGTGCGGTGCCAGTAGATGGCACTCCAGAATGTGGAACTCCATCCCCATCGTCCCCGGGGCCCCGCGGGCTGGGGGTGCTGCCCGGGGGATCAGGGAGCCCCTCGCCGAGGGGACACAGCCCGGGGACTCCCAGAGAGCACAACGAGGGCTGATGCCTCCACTGGGCAAGACATCTCCGGCACCAACTGCAGCAATCACAGGATCGGGGAATTCGGGAATGGTGGGGGTTGGAAGGGATCGCACAGCCCGTGTCATTCCAGGGCAGAGACACCTCCCACCAGACCAGGCTGCTCCTGGATGCAGCAATGGAATATCCACCTGAAGGACTGATGGATGGTATAGCACCTTCCTGTTGATCGTTTTTGGAAGCTGGCACTGATCCCACCTTCCCATTCCTCCAGCCCCTGAACAGGCTGCTCCGAGCACAGGATCATCCTCCAGCTCCAAACCCAGCCTGTAAACCCGGGGTTAAGTAAGGCAAAGGTTTATCATCAAATAGGAAGATCTGTTGATCCCTGTCACAGCCTAAGCTGGGAGTTTGTTCCTCCCAGCACAAGCTTTATTTCTCTCATACAAATCCACCAAAGGCTGTTTTCTTACCCTGCATCTTTCAAAGAGGAGTTTCAGGAAAAAGAAAAGAAGAAGGTTCTGGCTTAGAACAGAACTGAGCAAAACTAATAATTTAACTTCCTTCCTTATTTTAAAATATTATTTTCCACAAAAAGCAGCTGTTCCATGTTAAAAAACTTTAAAGATAACCAAGGGTTCAACAGTCATTTCCTTAGAGATTTTGCTTACATTTCCATTAATAATATAAATTATAGATGTCCTAAGTTACAACATTACATACCACTTTCCCAGGGCATTCATGACTTATTTAATCTGGAACTGCATGCTCCTGTTTTTCCATAATGGACATCAAATGCCATGTCAAGATTTTATTGAACCAACCTGCTGATAAAGGACTTATTTCACAACATATGGGCTATTTCTTCATCAAAGAATATGAGAATAATTGTCGCCAAATGAAAACTGCAAGAAATATATGATTGTTCTAAGTGTTGGACTGACTTTGTTACCAGATTTGAGCTTAATCCTTAATTGGAAAGTTATCACCGGCCATGAAATACACAAGAACATTTAAGTGCCTCCCACAGTGACCATGAAAATCCAGAGAATGATGGTTTAATTAGCAATCCCAGAGATACCAGGCGGTGCTCAAAAGCTAAAGCACTACCAGTGTTATTGCTGGGAAGAAGGAGGGACTCAAACATTTCCACCAGCCTGTTCAGCCTCGGGCCTTTGCTGTCAAGGAGGATAGTGATGATTATGGCCTGCAATTACCAGATTATTTTTTAGAGGCCTTTGACAACAACGTTGCAGCGTTTGGTGAAGGCTCCGTTTCCTTCCTCTGTCGCCAATGCTTCACTTTGCTCCGATGCTTATGCAGACTTCAGTCAGAAAGTGCTGCTCATTTACATGACCTAGATAGAATAATAGTGAGAAAGATGTTCCTTGATCTTTTTTCTCTTGATTTGCTACATTCAGCCTGGAAGAAAAACACAGTCATGGGAATGCATTGTTGCTTTTATGTCGGCATTAGGAAGCGGTGCTGGGGAGATTGGGGGATAGATCTGAGCAGAAGCCTCGCAATAAACGGGCAGAAAAACGCATGGAATAGCTTTAGGGATTACAGATTGTAGAGCTTTGCTTATTTTTTTAAAAAAAAACGTTCCCTGTTTGGTGACTTTTCAAACTTGATTTCACTACAGTGGCCCATGGCTGACAAGAGCTGTGAGGGAAGGGGTTTCACTCCAGCACAGCTTTGTGTGGAACCTGTCAGGAATGAGGACAGTGGCTCGGTGCAATGGGGGGCACATTCCATGGTTCCTCATTTCAGAGTCATTACCTCAGCTGGCTCAATGAACAACCTGTATTAGAAAGGGCTCTGAGCTGCCTTGCACTGTGGTTCAGGAATAGTCTGAACACATCTCACCTCTGCTTGGCCTCAGCTCTTGCTCAGCTGGATCCATCCCTTAGTCCCTTGGCTGATCCAGACAAGGCTTCTCATGTTCTGTCACGCTCTCCTGGGTGTGAGGAATAAATCCTTCTTGAAACAACAACACAAGAAATGCCCAGGTGTGACCATCCATGGGCTGCCAGGATGACAATGCCATGGGAGGAGGTGAAGGAACATTTCTCTGGGGCTGGAAGGATTGGTGACAAAGCAGGGCCATGTGCCCTGATCTCTGCAATGGAGAATGAAGCTGAATTAATCATCTCCTCAAGAAGGAGAGAAACAGAGTTATTGCTTTTAACAGCTGTAAATATTTTATTCCAAGAAGTAGAACAAGCAGAAACCCAAAATACAGACTAATCATGACTAGTACTGCTAATAAAGAAATCACAGATTTTCTAATAGCCAAGGTCTTTCACATAAATTATAGTTACTACCTGAACTAAAACCATGGTGGTGAATAACAGCCTGAATAAAAGAAAATGCGAACCGTGGTTGTCAGAAGGAGCTTCAGTAAGAGGTCACAGAAGATTTAGAAAGTTCTCATTCTGGAAATAGAAGTCCTGATTCCAAAATAATAGTTTTGGGCCTCTTTTGTCATCCAAGGATGGTTCAAATGAGTGGAAGTATGCTCACTGACATTGATGGGCTTTCAATTCAGGCTCCATCCTCTTTCAAAAATGTGTCAGAATATATAAAAAAGCCTGCCCAGTCAAGCCTAGGTAGGAAATGTGAGACAAAAGGGCATTGACATAATGTCTGTCAAGTGACAGGAATCAGGGAAATAGTCCAAACAATCATGAATGAAGATTTTTTCTTTTTTATGTAATTGTATCAAAATACCAAGTTCACAGCCAACATAGCTTATCTCAATTTCTTCCATGCTTGTATTGAACTTAAATTAAGAATTTTGAGAAAGAATAGCCCCAAAACAACTTGAACAGTTTCCAAGAGCTAATAAAAATATTTATTCTCATTTCTGGCCCACTGTTGCCTAAAAAGAGAAGTATTGTGCCTTTGAAAGCTTTGTCATTATTATGTCCATTGTAAACAGCTATTTGGACAGAACTAAAGCTACTGAAAGTGGTCTCCCAAAACTCAGAGAGGAAGCTGACATGCTGTTCAGCCTTCTTGGAGAATTGATGTGAATCCTTTTGTAAAGGAGATCTGTGCTCTGAGCACTCCAAATACATCCCAGAATACTAATCACACTATTTCCCAAAGCAAAAGAAAAATAAAAAAGGATAGAGTGCATCACTGAGCCGAGAATGGTACAGCTCTTGGGAGATATTTTAGGGGGGGAAAGGGGAGGCCTGTCTGCATCCTTAACTGTATAAACAAGGGTAGAGCACACACTGCCAGAGGGCAGGCTTAGATGGGATACTGGGAAGGAATTCTTGGCTGGGCGGGTGGTGATGCCTGGCACAGGTTGCCCAGGGAAGCTGTGGCTGCCCCTGGATCCCTGGAAGTGTCCAAGGCCAGGCTGGATGGGGTTTGGAGCAACCTGGGCTAATGGAAGGTGTCCCTGCCCATGGCAGGGGGTGGGACTGGATGATTTTAAGGTCCCTCCCAACTCAAACCATCCTGTGATTCTGTGGTAAATATTCGTTTGTATTTCATGTTGTCCCATACAGATGGGAAAGAGAGGATGGATCTCAGCCTGTGCACTTTAACCCAGCTCCAGTGGAGGGAAGCAGACGTGGGAACAGCATCATCCCCTGTACTGGGGGAACTTGGAGCCACGCAGGAGGAGAAGGGCACAGATGAAAGATCACTGAAGAGAAGGGTGGAACTGCTTTCTTTGTTCTGCCTCTTTTTCTGGAATCTGAGTTTTTCCCCCTAACACAAGAGAGTGGGGCTGCAGATCTCAGACAGTGGATCAGAGTCAGAATGCACCTCCTCAACCACAGGATGCAAAACTTGTGCTGCAGGAGGTGCAGAGTCACAAATGGGGCCAAAAAAGTGTTGTTTGGCACATCTCCTTAAAAGGTTTCACCTTCATCTGTCAGAAAGGTAGTAAACTTCAGGATTAGGAATAATTAAAACATTATTTCCTTCATAACAAAAGGGAGGGATTGACTAGTGCTCCCAGTGCTAGGAGTCAAAATAGTTGCTGTGCTTGTCTGTCTGAAGTGCTGTAGGAGTACAAATTGACTCCTCGGTGCTGTCATTCTTTCACTCCAGAATGAGCAGCTCATAGGAGGAAATATCCTGGCTCTGAATGTGGCCAGAAAAAAAAAAGAGTTTTCTTCCAGTAGTTTTTGTCTTGGGTAAGACTTTTCATCCTGTGTTTGACGTTCTGAAATGCACGATTATATAGTGCAAGACTCCAGCAACATTTCGCATTGTGAGGATGGAGCTGCTCAGCATTTTGCCAGATGCCAAGTGATATTCTGATGTTTCTATCCTCACTTTGAGCTGAGTGACAGTCAGCATATTCACAACGAAGCCAAGACAATCTGCTATCAAGTTACAGTAGTGGCATTTTCCCTGATGAAGATCCCAGGGCTCGTTGGAATAAAGCTCCTTAAAACTCGGTGTCTGGAAGGGCTCCAGCGTGGCTCGCGCTCGGTGTAATGTGCTGATATATTTGTGCCAGAGCAATAAGTGGATCAGTGGGTAGAGCTTTGGTAAGTGAGTCCATACGTACTGCACCATTTCCTGGCTCGCAGCTCCGGGTGTTGCAGGCTGTGTGCAGTGGGGGAGGTGCCAGAGCTGATCAAGCAGTGTAATTTTATACATTACTGAATCAGTGCAGGAGAAACCTGGAGGGACAAAGCATCATCTTCTCTTTGAACTGCACTGTAAAATCCGACAGCTCTCTTAGCCCAGCCATGCTCTGATACGTTTTTCCTCTCCTTTTTTCCCCTGATTTTGGTGTGAATGATAAAGTGATCTGATGATGGCTCTCGTTATGGAACCTATTAGCAAGTGGACGCCCAAGCAAGTAGTGGATTGGATGAAAGGTAGGATCATTTATTACCGTGTATTGTCTGTACTTTGGATCCTTGCAATTTCCATATCTGCCCTGGCATTCTTTGTTTTGGGAAGAGTTTATTCAGTTCCGATGATCGGTGTGCTGCTTTGCTCCGTAGTTGTCACAGGCAGGCTGAGCAGAGGCTGGTTAAGCTTGCAGCGCGTTGTTGGAATCGCTGCCGAGAGCGGAGCGGGATCGGATGCGTTTGTTGGGGAATGCAGACACAAAGTGTTTGTGTCTCGGGGCTCCATCATTGCCTCGCACGGAGGAGCGTTGGGATGTTGGGCTGCTTTAAATTTGCCCTGATTAGGTCTGGTTCGCTCATATCAGGTGATCTGATGCAGTGGCTGTGCAGCACTTGGCTGTAGTTTAGGGTACCAACAAGGAGCGTGAGGTGCCGGTGGCTGGACCGACGGATCCTGCTCCTTTGGTGACATGTCCTGCTGTGTCCTGCCTTCCCAGCCGTGTGTCCAAGGATCCCGCGTGCCCGTGTGCCGCGGGGACCGTGGGCAGTGCAGGGCTGAGCCCGGGGAAACTCGTCGGGATAAGTTGGCAGGAAGGATGATTTCCCTGCACATTCGCAGTTTCCCAACACAGCCGTCAGCCCTGACATGTTGTGCCTGACAATGCTCGGCTGTGCTGCAAACACACCGGGATGGATGGGAGGGGGAAGGGGGGATTGCTCCTGCTGATGGGTGGTTTGAATCGCTCCGGAGTGTCAGGGGGGATGTATTCCCACGGTGGGATGCATTAGTGTTGTTTTACAGTGCTTCTGATGAGCTGTCTGTCTTGGAGACAGTTCCTGCCACGGGGGATCTCTGTTACATAAGGACAAGAGGTGCAAATTTGGGGGGTGTGTTACTCGTGCAAATGGTTTCTGTAATGTGATTACTGACTTATTGGGGGGGGTGGGGGGGTGGGGGCTGAACTGGATGCCCACAGTAATGTCCTTAGAGCTTTCAAAGTGTTGTCATTAATAAGGGAATGGTTCTGATCTCATTTTGCTGAGCTCCATCCCCACACTTCCCTGAAATGGGGCTGTTTGGGTGCTCATCAGACACGGTACCAGGATGAGCTGATTATTCTTTTACAGGCACAGAGTACTGGGAAGCAAATGGGATCGAGGGGAATGCATGTACTTTGTTTCTCAGGTGTTTGGGAACTCAGGGTAATTGGGAGGGCTTAAGCAGGTCATTGGGATGGATCCTGAAGCCTTTAGACACAGGATTGATTCCCAGGCTCCAGTGTCATTACCTGATAGCAGATCCTGATGTCCGTGCAGAGGAGAGCTTTCTGATCCACACCTTTATTTTCAGCACATAAAAGTTAAAAAGTGGACAGATCCTTCTGCTTTTTAATTCATTTACTTGAATTTTAATGTAAATTAAATGTCAGAGTGCGTAGAATACTTGTTGCTAAATTTAAAAATACTTCCTGCTAGTTTTTTATCCTTTTTGATGCAAACTGGTTACATTCTGGGCAGCACTAATCCACGATGAGCAGTGCATGCCATGGGAAGCAAGAAGGTCATACAAACACAAGGTTTAAAATGACTGGAGTCGCCTGACAGTAGGATTTGTCTCCCAGACTGCATCTTGCATCCATAGGGACGTCTGGAGTAGGCAGGGTTGCCAGTGCTGTGCCTCTGGGCTTAGGCATAAATAAGGATAATGCAATGAACACTGGAGTATTTAAAACATCGATATTTTCCTTGCTGACATGAGCTGCAGACCCACAAACAGGGCAGTTGCCCTTTATTCCCTTTTCCCCACACGAATATTACAAGCCCCTGTTTTTTTATCCCACTCTTTGCCTTTTCCAATGCACAGTTCACTCGCAGCCAAAGAAAAGACCCGACCCACACAAATGGCAGTGGAGCAGAATGAGTTTAAAACTACTTGTAAATACCTCACTTGGCAAAAATTGCCCAGTTGTGGCCCATTTGCCTGCAGTTCCCCATGCTCTGTGGCTCAGCTCCGTGGGATACAGTCACGCTGCTCAATCCAGGGGTCAGGGAGCTCCAAGGTCTGCTCAGGTAGCTCTCAGGGATAAGGTAGTTTTTATGTGTTTCTTCTATTCTGAAAAGTGCAATTCTTTGACAGCTGTAAAGAATGAATTAAAGACATTTTAGACAAATTACTACTTCGTGAATGAGTGATAGTATCTTTACTATCGATAGCAACATGTTAATAATCCATATAAAAAAATGTTGCAAGTGTAATATACCTTTGGGGGGGGGGGCTTAAAATATATATTCAATAATTGTTATTTGTGCAGATTGTAAATTAGAATCTATTCCAGAGGGAAATGAGAGCAATACTCTTTTTAAACTTGCACTTAGCACAATTATTTAAGCTATTGTAGCTTACTTCTAAAATCTCGCAGCAAAGTACATGTTTGAAAGTAACTAGCAGTGAGTACCAGCAACATCAAATAATTATAGAGAAGATGGAAGAAAGCCACAAAAAATGATGTTAATGGTTTGAGACCTGGGGACCCAGAATGTGTCCTGGTTACAGTTTGAAATCAGAGCCTGAGCATCCCACACCCCCCACGAGAGGAGACACCCTTCTGTTCTTTTCCTTGAGGAAATGTTACTTGCCAAAAAAGTAAAAATGGGTAGGCTTTAAGGAACATTATTATGACAAGTTGGCATCTTGTATTTATCCATCTTGTATTTATGGGGAGCGCATTCAGCTGGAATTCAATTAGGGAACTGCAGCTGATGGTGTGGACAACCTGAAAAGGCCATGCAAGTCTTGAGAAATTGATTCCTGAGGCTCACAGAGGATCCAGAAGTTAAAACTCTGGGTACTTTTGTGTTAAAGAAATTGTCCTTGTGCAAAAATACGTTGTCAAGTTTAGCAGTTACACAGCAGAAGGCACTGTGGTCAAAAGGAATATTTTTGAAGGAGCTGAAAATGATAATCGGGAAGGGATTTTTAACAAAAGTTTTTAGTCACTATTCTTTTTGTCCCCCAAATTTTCCAAAATTTTACTTCAGAAAATGAGCAAGTATTTCCCCTGGGAGACACCCATTTCTTACATAACTTGCATGTTTTCCTGAGGTTATGCACTGAGGACCCAAAAGGTACCTTAAGAAAAACCTTTGCCTTGCTCGAATTCCACTGTGGCCCTGCTGGAAAACAAATATTGACCACAGAGCTTGCAAGTACATTGAGGGTCAGAGTAGTTTCTAATTTGGCCAGTTTTACCTTTAAGTAGAACATATTAATGTGAGTAAATGACAAACTAGACTTTAATATGTATATTTGGAATTTTTTTATCTGGAGGCTTTGGTTGTTTCTTGGCCCAGGAACTCAGTGGGAGACTCAGTGACGCTTTGCAGGTTTTCAGTGACCCTCAAAAACCACAGCCCATCTATTTTACCGGCCGCTGGGAGTCCTGCACAGAATCTGGGGGCTTGGGGCGCAGAGAGGAGGTCTGACGTGCTGCTGAATTAATAAAAGCATGTTAGATTGTGTCTCCACTGTAAGTAGAACCTAAAAGGTATTCTCTGTACTTTCACAACTGAGAGCATTGAAGATGTTGTGCTTCCTAAGGGAAGCAGTTTACAAGTAGGTCATTTAAAATGTGAACTCATTTACGGGGAAGTGACACCTCTGTTTAAATAAATACTCACTTTTCAGAGCAGCCTAGTGTAATGAAATGAAACACAATGCAGTGAAATACAGCTGTGACTTTCAGAGAATGGAATGTTATTGAACAGCTGAAAATTAAAATGGGAAACCAGCTATTTCTTAAGTACCTGTAAGCAATAACTCCACACGGAGTCCGGGATTCAAAGGCCTGGGGACTGACAGGTTTGTCTGCCCAAAGAGCCTTCAGTGGACGTTTCTCTCATAATGAATGCTCTGCTTTAGACACTCATTTCACAACTGCAAGCCATTTTTTTCATCTTTAAATCTAGAATTTCTCCACTCTCAACAGGAGATGCAGACATGAAAAAATAAAAATTTATTCAGTTGGTAAACTGATTAACTGTGCTGCACTGATCCTGTGCTGAATAATTATATGTTTAGCTGAAGGGTTTTCCTTAGCATGTAATTCCCTGATTTCAGGCTGGCTCATAAAAGAGAAAGGAAGGGAGGGAGGGGGAGCAGGGAAGCTGATGACGTGAGTGGACTTGTTAACATTCCCATCACGCAGGGCTCCGGCAAAGCCCTCTCAGTCTTCCTTTGCTTTTTATTAGATCACTACCTGTTCTGGAGCAATGTGTCATAGCCAGGGAGTCTCCTCTATTTGCAGGACAATATACTGGTAAAATCTCAGAATGTGCTGGAAGCACAGCTCACCATTCTGATGTGCTGCAGAGTCAGCCCTGTGGGTGCAGAGCTGGGGGATTCCTGGCTCCCCTGCCCCCCACCTGACCTTACAATGCCATGATGCAAAGAACACAATTTCACGAGGTACAATTTGGACCCGGAGTGGATAAGCGAGGTCGTACCTTATTTAGAGAAATGGAGGGTTTGTAACATCTTTTCAGCTCTTCCCAAAGACAAATGGGTTTGGAAGAGCTCTGAGCCACCAGTACAGGCGCCCTCAGAATTACCGCTGAATTTCCAAGCTGTTCTAAAGTGAAGGTTTTGTCGTTTTCCTTCTGCTCTCACCAATTTTGCAACTGAAACAAACAATTTACTGTTGTGGCTCCCCCCTGGATTCCTGTGTTCCACTGGCACCACATTTCCAGTTGTCACTAGGAAGTCACTGAAGCAGAACTGGCTGCAATTCCACTGCGATTCCTCTTGCAAGTTTCAGACTTTTATACTTCTGAGTAATTAATTTTGTGAACAACTGTTGAGTGTTGTAAACTATTAACTTTAAAAGGGTCAGCAGAGCACGTCTCAGAGCTGGCTACTTTGCAATGTCAGTGGTTAAGATCAGATTTCAGGGAACAGACTTCCAATGTTCATACAGTTAAGGGTTGGAATGAGCTGTCTGGGCAGCTGTCTGGTTTGGCCATTCTCT